CTTGGGCTGAATTTTGTGGGGTATGCAGCAGTTGTATATGAATTTGTGAAAGTTGAGCACCTAGTGACTCGATTAATTTTATGGATTACCGGACTAGAACGTTAAAAATTGTAATTTGGTGATAAGTTATTAAAAAATTCGGTGATAAGTTTTGTGCGCATATTGGCGTTAGGCAAAGAATAATTTGGGTCCCATGACTGTTTTTGGTGCCTCTAAAATAAGTGAAAATGTATTGCAGCAGCCAGCAACAGAAGTAACTACGGCAGCACCTCAGCCTGACACCACTGCTGAAGGAGGTGCAGCAGAAAAAGTGAAGAGTGTCGCTGAGAAAGCGACTGCAGCCGAGGAGGTAGTGGACGACGAAGAACAGTATATGAGTGCTGATGAAGGCGCTCGTTCAAACGTGAGCGATGACCAGGTACGTTTTTTATGCGTTTTTTATTTTTTGCATCTATGCAATGCAAAAACGTGTATTGTTGAGGAGTTGTGTGTGTGTGTGTGTGTGTGTGTCTGTGGGCGTCTGCACCGTTTTTTCATACCGAGACTTACAAGAGCTAAAGGAAAAAATAATCACCTTATGCCCAGAATGAACATTCACGTCCACGTGGCCCTCACGTGTGTACACGTGAAGAATTTTTTTGAGGGAGAGCGATTTCGGAAACCACACAAGCTGTAATGAAACTTTGTGAAGACGTTCCTCGCTCACATTTGACCCAGTGTTTTCAAATTCAGTCTTCACGCAACCCATAGGTCTTGTGCGTTTACGTCAGTGTCTAATTTGGCATCGTGCTAACTCGGAAATTAAGCCAACAATTTGTACAGAGCTGCAGTTCTACGGCATTCTTTGCCCTTCTATGATATCCTCGTGAAAGTAAATTGAGCTTTCCAGCTCCTCTGCATTTCTTGGACGGGTACGTGAAATCTGACGTGGGCAGCTTTATAACGTCGGAAGTAAAACATCTGGAGGAGTGAAACTTTCTGAGCGTAGCCAATGACATCGTTTAGCCAGGTGGAAGTGAAGACAACTTTAACGTTCTTTTCATGTCTTGCATACGCCTTGTGTGCGAACACGTGAAATTTGATGTAACTCCGCAACGAAAGCAGCTAAAGTGCTGAAATTTTCAGGGAATAGTCCTGGGCAGTGTTTGGGTAGGGAAACATAAAAAAATTCACTTTTCCCCTTACGCACGAGCACGTAGAACTCGGCATAGTCCCGCAGCCAAGGCAGTTATACTGCCGAGACTTTAGGGCATGTTCCAGAGCCACCTTTGGACAAGTCTGCATAAAAAGTTTCTCCTCACACACAGACATGTGCAGTTTCACCTAACCCTACAGCTAAGTTAGCCAAAGTGCTGAAATTTTCTGAGCTTCACCACCGAACTGGCAGGATAACTATGCAAAAAACGTGTCTTTGCACCAGCAGCTAATGCGCTGTTGACCAAGTTTGGTTGTGTTTTTTTTTGTCAAAATTTTGTTTTTTCGCAAAAGTTGCATTGTAAGTTGAGCACAATTCACTCATCTTTCCCGCTTGTTCTGGTTAGCCATGGCGATAAGTGCTGAGATCTAGCAAGGCCCGAAATCCGGCATTTCTTTTGTGCGAATTACGACCGGGAGATGTAGTGTACCCTGTTGCTGAAGCATTTGAAACATTTTTCAAATGGCAGTGATAGAAGCTTCGTTCTTTAGGTAAATGTACATGATTATTATTCGGATCCTTTTGGAAACTCCTTCCACCTTCTAGTCCCACTCGAGTACCACTCGCTGTTACCGTGCTTCCCCCTCCCCCCTTTTGCCTTTCCTTCTGTGAAGCTGCTGTTGACAATAGCTGTTTTTGCTTTATTCAAGTTACAATTTTGCTCATAAAAATTACATTTTTAGCGAAGTAAGTTACAGTATCAGACGGACGCATCGGGTTCGCGTGATTTTATCCTCGATGGTGCTAACTACCGTGCTGATAACGAGGAGGTTATCCCACCACCGGTGACCACTAGCGAGGAAAGCGAATTCATCCCGGTCACGGCAAGGAGTAAGAAGCGTGGTGGAGCAAGCGGGGCTG